TCAAGAGTTGGACACTTAACCAACTGAGCCACCTAGGCACCCCTCTTTTTGAACGTATTAATCATAGTTATTTCGAAGTCCTTGTCTGCTCATCACAATGTCTGTACTGTTGGAATCAGCTGTATCTGTTTCTATTGTCTCTTTTTCTTCTCTTGGTTTTCCATCCATATATCCTGTTTCTCTGCATGTTCAGTGATTTTTTTTTTATTAGATGCTGTGCATTTTGTATGGAATTATAGTGGCTCTAGGTTATTATATACTCCTCCCACAAAGGTTTACCTTTTCCTTTCCTGGGCAATTAGAGGGGGTCAGGGGGTGCAGTCTTAATCCAACCAGGGATGAGCTGAAGAGAGGCTGCACAAAAGTTTGGTAAACTTCAGCGTTCCCCCTTATCCACTGGAAGCCTAATGTGTTCACTGTGGTCTCTTCCTTTGGTGGGTCCTGAATCCTAATTGCATTTCCTCAGTGTGGCAAGAGTGTCATAAAAACCCCAATTCCTCTACTTCTCAGAGGCTTTCTGCTTAGCTTCTTAGCATCTTGCCCCTCACATCTTCAGAATTTGGCCAATGTCTCTAAGGGAACACTGGCCATGTGTTCACAGCCCCTCAGGTCTCCAGGTTTGTGTCTTAAGCTCCCTGAAGCCACCAAGTGTTCTGCGTCTTGCCTTTGCCAATAATCAACAATGCCCCCAAGGAAAAAGCAGCTGTAGACCAGCCCCTCACCTCAGCCCTTCTGGCCTTCTGGTTTTTGTGGCATCAGTGGCTTCCTGATAGCTTTAGAGAGATTCATTCTGTCTCGCTTATCTCAGGTTCTCAGTGGAAGTGTCAGTCTGCTGCAGGGCGCTGTATCCTGAGCTGAGTGTGAAGTATGCATTGGGATGAGGAAGGTTGGTTGGAGAAGATGTTCACTAGGGTCAGCTCATGATCAGAGGCGTGGGTGCTTGGCTGGAGAACCTTGTATACCAGCCCAGTAGATTTAGGCTCGACTGCACAGGCACCGGGGAGCCACAGAACGTGCTGGGTATAAAACAGTGTTTTGGGAGGTAGTGCTGGTGGCCTTTGATCTGGAGGTGTGCAGGTTTCTGAAGAGGGTCTGGTGGGAAAGGACAGGCGTGAGATGGGCAGTGGGACTAGAGGAAAGGTTGGTGTGAGGGGTCATCCGGAGGATTGACTAGAGGGATTTGTGTTGCCAGACTTCAGTGGGGGAGGTTGGGCAGTGGTAAGGCTGACCCTGGGGGCCTCCTGAGGGTTTGGTGGTGGCCATGTTGGGTTGTGGCTTGGTGAGGACCCCTGGGGAAGGGGTATTTGGACTGATGAGTAGGAGCTGGATGGATGGCTTGTAGGTAGGACAAATCAAGGTTGAGATGGGAGATGGATTCTAAAAAGTCCTAGTGGAGTGTAGTTAGAGGGGGCGGGCAGAGCTGGGTGCCGGGTGGGGAAAGAGAACAGGGAATAGGAGAGACCAGAGCCGGGAAGGAGAGTACTAGAGGGCAGACAGAGTGGGTTGGTTTTTTTTTTTTTAATGTTTATTTATTTAATTTTGGCGGGGGAGGGGCAGAGAGAGAGGAAAGATAGAGAATCCCAAGCAGACTCCACACTGTTAGCACAGAGTCTGATGCTGGGGCTCGATCTTACAAACCTTGAGGTCATAACCTGAGTCAAGATCTAGAATCAGCCTCTCAACTGACTGAGCCACTCAGGCGCCCCCAGAATGTTTTTGTCTGACAGTTGTTGACTGATTGGGATTGAAGTAGAACGTGGTCTGCAGTTTGAGATGCCTTGGGAGGCTTAGAGGCTAAGGGCTGGCCAAGATGGACTCACGGGTCTCAGGGTGCCTTAGGAGCAGCATGAGAGAGCATAAAGCAAAATAGGCTTTCAAGGAACCAAATGAACCATGGCAAAGTTAGGAACGAACTAGTCTCGTGAACCCTGGACAGATAGAGGCTCAAGTTTGCTCAGCTTGCAGTTTTCCTTCCCAAGAAGAGTTGTGCCTCAGCCCCATCTCCCAGCCCCTCTGGTTTTGCTATCAACTCTCATGGGCCCCTGAGAGCCAGTGACTTTTGAAGCAGGCAAGGAGAGGGGTTCAGAGCTGCCCAGTAGAGGAGCAAAAGTCCTTCCAGATAGCTTCAGCCCGCTCAGAGGCATGGGGCAGTGAACGTGCCTGTGCTGTCTAGGGTGTGAATGTGGTGTGGGAGGTTGGGGGGAGGGGACCTTGGAGGGATAGGAGAGACAGGTGGCATGATCATGAAGGCCAGAACATGAGAAGTTTGGCCGTTATCCTGACTGCTTTGGTGAGCCAATGACAGGTTTTAAGCAGGGACGAGTCTCGACTACATGTTTGTTTAGAAAGGCCATTCGGTATCTGCAGGGAAGATGTATCAAGGAGGTGCAGGGGTGTACCTGTCTGGAGGCTGCTGCGGGTGTCCTGGGCATATGATGAGGGCAGAGGAGGAGGAGGATTTGAGATCAGGGGTGAAGAACAAGCTGTTGGGACTTGGCGACAGCTCAGATTTGGGGTGGGGGAAGAATGAGGGAGGCCAGGGTGGGGCCTGGGGCTCAGCTGGTGGCACATCCGTTGAGGAGCAGGAATGACTGAGGAGGAACAGTCTGAGGGGCAGCTGTGGCCAATCCAGGCCCCGCCAGAGAGGATGGAGAGAGGGGTGGGTATTTATCCTGAAGCAGAGCTGATGGTAGCCCTGAGGTGCTCATCTGCCTTTGTTCTTCATAATCTGTCCCCTGCTTCCTTCCTGGAGGGCACTGAGGACTGAAATTCTAAATGCCCTTAGCCTCCACACTCCAGAGGCTGTCCTGTGGGCCAAGATGTCCCCCTTGGCCCAGATGCTGGGGCCCTAGAGCCCTGGCCCACTCTGGCAGGTTTATGTGGTATGTGTGTGTGGGGATTCCTACCCTAGACTGGTTCGGGGACTCTAGGAGGCCTTCAGCATCCTTGAATTGCCTTCCAGAACCTTCCTGAAGGCTTTCCCACTGATGGGGGAGACGCAGGAGCGTGAGCGGGTCCTTACACACTTCTCCCGCCGGTACTGCCAGTGCAACCCGGATGACAGCACCTCGGAAGGTACGGCCATCTGTCCCACCTGCCGCCCCTGCTGGGCCCTGGCTTCCTCCTACCCTTGGTCCATGTGCCACCTCTGTCCTGTTCAGTGAACATTGAATGATGGCACATAGAGTGGGGTCTGCTTGCTGGACGAGAGACCTTCCAAATGTCTTGCCCATTGTCATTCTCTGTGCCTGGAAGTCCTCGATCCTAGAGTCAGTCTTTTGGTTTTTCATTCTCCCTGCTCCCCCTGGCAGTGCTGATTCTTGGTGTGGTAGGAGTCCTGGTGTGGAGGTCTGGGTTGGGGCCCTCTTCGCCCTCTTAGCAGCAGCACTTTCCTGTGGATGGACTCGAGTCCCAGGAACTGGGGGACTAGGCCAGTTATTGGAGGAGACAAAGGCCAAGGCAGGGACATAGTCCACGACCCATAGCCACTCCTGGGTCTGAGTGTCAGGATAAGTTTGGTCACAGGAGGCAGGAGTCTGGCCTATAGCAGGCCCAGGGAGCTCAGGTCCCTTGTGAGGGAGGGGTTGGCCCTGACCTGGGGCAGGCAAGTGACTCTGGTGTTGCAGTGGGGGGGTAGAGCAGGAAGCGTCACATAGCTTCTGGGCCCTGAGGTGCATTTGGCTGGTGGCTGGCCTCTTCCTCTCTCCAAGGTCTTCAGGTTGGCTCTGTCAGGAGACAGGTGGGTGGCTGGGTTTGAAGAAATGGGTCCTCACACTGAGGGTGCCACCATCTCTGATTTAGATGGGATCCACACGCTCACCTGTGCTCTGATGCTGCTCAACACGGACCTGCACGGACATGTGAGTTGGGGAGGCAGGAAAGGGGCATGTGCTCGCACTGACCCACCCCTGCACTGTCCTGGGGCTCACTCTTTCTCCCATCCCCCTTCCTGATCCCTGCTTGCTGGCCATGGTTCTTTAAGCAGACCTGGGAGTTGGACAACTTGGCTTCTAGGCTTGGCTCTGCCTTAGTTTATTCACCTGAGATCTGCCAGGATGCCTTGCCCCCAAGCAGAGAGTATAGCTGAGGCACAGGGAAATTGGGGTTTGCTAAATAAGACATGCCAGCCCCAGCTGTGTCGACTCCAGGCATTGCTAAAGAGCTAGTGCTCTTCCTGCCCCTGTCTGGCAAGTCCGGATGTGGCCCTGTTGAAGTGCCTCGCCCCAGGCAGCCCCCACCTGTCAAATGGTAGGTTGCCCTCAGGAGGCGGTCTCATCACCCCGACCCACCCCCAGGCAATTAGTGAAGTAAAAGGTGGGTGCCCCAGGCTGTGAGGCTGTGCCATCACAGGCCTGGGCTCTCTGTGTTGCTTGTGGCTCAATAACTCCTTCTTCTCTCCTTCCTCTGCTCCGGGGACCCCCCCTCTTTGGTCTCTCTTGCCCTCCTTCAGGTGGTAAGTGTAGCCGGTGGTGTGCATGCCCTGTGAGCCTAGACCTCGCATCTCCATGTTACCCCTTCTGTGTCCCTCATCACCTCATCTGCCCCGTCATTGCTCATCCAGGGGTGGTCAGAGCCCCTGTGTTGGGTTGGGGATATTTCGTTGACACATGGGGACCACAGGCCAAGTCTGGTTCTGGAGTTAACCGGGAAAGTTCAGGGCACATAGATTGGAAGAAAGAGCTAGGACAGACCCAGCTTCAGATCCTGCTCTTGCCTCCAAGTGGAGGCTCTGTGACGCTGGACAAGACATTGAGCGTCAGATTCTGCATCTGTGAGGTGGGAATAATGATTTCCTGACAAGTGGCCTGGGGAGGATGGAGAGAATTAATATGCACAACACCAAGCATCAAGGTTGGGTACCTAGTAAGGATTTAATTATGAATAACATCATTATGTAAGAATAACAATAGGACTCATTATTGATATTAAGATTTAAATGAGGGAGAGCCCCAAGGCCTAGCCTGTAGATCCCTGGAGAGTTAAGAATGTGAAGACCATAGCCTAATGGCAACCTGAGAGGGCATGGGTACACTGGGGCACCTGACTAGGAAGGGTGCCGGCCTTGGTGACCTCGGCTTAAGGAGTAGTCATGTGACAGTTTCCTTTATGTCTGCCTGGGCTGGCAGCCTGCTTGTGGAACAGGAGAGTAGATGTGTGCCTTCCCTGGGAATGTCTCCAGAACTAATACCCATTAACCGGCTAATGTTCCCCCAAGACTGCTCGCTTTGTATGGAGAGCAGGTATTGCTACTGTACCTTAAAAGGAGCATTAAACACACCCCTCCTCTCCCGATTCCCACCCTTGGTTGGGCCTGAGGGCAATCTTAGGACCCAGTTACTGCTTTGCCAAGTCATGGATGCTCCGTGGTTAAGAACTGCAACAGCCACTTAGGTCAAGGGTACCCCTGAGCTTGGTGGGCTGTAGCTGCCCACCCCCCACATCAATGCCGGCAGCTGAGGAGGAACATCAGCACCTTCCCAGAGCAGAAGTGGGTGGGGCAGGTTTGCGGTTTCTGGAGCCAACAGACACTGAGGATCCCGTCTTTCTCTCTTGAGGCAGTATTGCAAAAGGATCAGGAGAAAGCGTTCTGGGTCAGAGTCCCCAGTATTTCCCCACAGGACAGCTGTGTGGCCTGGGGCAAGTTACCTCACTAAACCTCCCATTCACCTTCATAAAGTTCCTGTGAGGCTTAAGGAGACAGAACTTGTGAAGTACTCAGCTCCCCCTCGGGTTGCAGTTAGTGTGAGCTCTCTCCAAAGGCTCCCAATTGAAGCAGCTCCCCCTGCTTTGTGCTCCCCCGCCATCCCCCACTCCTCTGCTCTCTGGAGACTGAGTGCTGGAGACTGAGTGCCGGCTGGATGTGGGGATCTCAGGAACGTGGGGCCTGCTAGAGCTCCAGACAACTTCTGTGGTCAGAGAAAGAGGCAGTAAAGGAGCTGGCAGAGGGTAGGTGCATGTTCTTCAGGTGGACAGTTTTAGTAGCTATTTCATGTAGGCTTGAAGAGAAAGTTCATTCTGCAGTTGTTGGTTGAAACGTTGTGTATGTAGATAAGGTCAAGTCTTTTCACTGTGTTGTGCAAATCTTACATATCCTTACTGATTTTTTTTTAATCGTGGTCAAATACACATAACATACCATCTTAATCATTTTAAAGTGCACAATTCAGTGGAATTAAGTATACTCATATGGTGTGCTATCATCACCACTCTGTACTTCCAGAACTTTCTTGTCACCCCGAACTGGGGTTGTAATGTTGCAGGGTTTCCTGTACCCATTAGCAGCCACTCTCCATTCTCTCCTCCCCCCAGCCCCTGGCAACCACTAATTTGCTTTCTGCATCTATGGATTTGCTTATTCTGTATATTTAATGTGAATTCACTCATAAAATATATGGCTTTGTGTTTGGCTTCTTTCACTTAGCATATGTCTTCAAGGTTTGTCCATGTTACAGCATGTGTCAATATTTCATTCTTTTTTATGACCAGATAATATTCCATTGCACGGATGTCCCATGTTTTATGTATCTATTTATCTGTTGATGTATATTTGAGTTGTTTCCTCCTTCTGGGTAGTGATTATGATTTATGCTGCTGTGAACATTTGCGTCCAGTCTTTTTTTTTGTTTGAACACCTGTTTTCAATTCCCAAGAGTAGACTAGGTATATCATATGCTTATTTGGTGCCTAACTTTTTGAGGAACTGTGGAAATGTTTTCCATAGTGGCTGAACTGTTTTAAATTCCCACTGCCAGTACATGAGGGTTTTAGTTTTTCCACATCCTCTTTAATGCTTCTTTCTTTTTTGATAGCCATTCTGGGGGATATGAAGTGCTGTCTGATTGTGGTTTTGATCTACATTTTCCTGATGACTAATGATGTTGAGCATCTTTTCATGTTTTTTTGACCATTTGTATATCTTCTTTGGAGAAATGCCTATTTGAGTACTTTGCCCATATTTTGGATTAAAAAAATTTAACAATTGTAGTAAAAAAAAATTTTTTTTAATTGGGGTAAAAGATGTATAACACTAAAGTTACCATCTTATATAATGTAGGTCAGTAGTGTTAAGTCTATTCACATTGTTGTGCAAGTAATCTCTGGAACTTTTTCATCTTCCCAAACTGAAATTCTACACATATTAAACAACTACTCCTCAACACCCCTCTCCACCTTGCTACTGACAACTACCTTTCTCCTTTATGTTTCTGTGAATTTGACTATTCCAGATTCCTCATACAAGTGGAATCATACAGAATTTATATTTTTGTGACTCATTTATGCCATGTAGTATAATGTCCTAATGGTTCATCCATGTTATAGCATGTGACAGAATTTTTAAGGCTAAGTAATATTCCATTGTATGTATGTATTCCATTTTGTTTGTCCTTTCATCTGCTGATGGACACTTGGATTGCTTTCACCTTTTGGTTTTTGTGAATAATACTGCTATGGATATATGGATGTGCAAATATTTCTTTGAGACCCTGCTTTAAATTCTGTTAGGTATATGTTCACTTTCTGAACAGCCATACTGTTTTCCATAGTGACTGAACCATTTTACATTCCGACCAGCAGGGCACAAATTTTCTAATTTTACTACATCCTTGCTGACACTTATTTTCTGTGTTTTGATAGTAGCCATCCTTTTTTTAAATGTTTATTTCTGAGAGAGAGAGAGAGAGAGAGAGAGCGAGCACGAGCAGAGAAGGGGCAGAGAGAGAGACACCCACACACAGAATCCAAAGCAGGTTCCAGGCTCTGAGCTGTCAGCACAGAGCCCAACACAGGGCTTGAACCCATGAAGTGTGAGATCATGACCTGAGCTGAAGTCGGATGCTTAACTGACTGAGCCATCCAGGCGCCCCAATAATAGCCATCCTAATGACTGTGGAGTTATATCATCTCATTGTGGTTTTGGTTTGCATTTCCCTAATGATTTGTGATGTTGAGCGTCTTTTCATATGCTTATTGATCATTTATACATTTTCTTAGGAGAATCGTTCCTTAAAACCCTTTGCTCATTTTTAATTGCATAGTTTGTGCTTTTGTTGTTGAGTTTATATATTTTGGATACTGTACCCTTATCAGATATATGGTTAGCAGAAATTTTTCCCATTCTGTAAGTTGTCTTTTCACTCTCTTGATATATCTTTTGGTGCACAAAAGTTTTTAAGTTTGAAGAAGTCCTATTTATTTATTTATTTATTTATTTATTTATTTATTTATTTATTTATTTTTGCTCGCTTGCTTGCTTGCTTGCTTGCTTGTGTTTTGGTGTCATCTAAGAAACCATTACCAAATCCAAGATTACAAAGATTTATCTCTATGTTTCCTTTTGAGAGTTTTATGGTGTTGGGTCTTATGTTTAGATCTTTGATCCATTCTGAGTTAATTTTTATATATGGAGTGAAGTAAGGGTTCAGTTTCATTCTTTTGCTGTGGGTATCCAGTTGTCCCAGCACCGTTTGTTAAAGAGACTATTCTTTCCTCATTAGATGGTCTTGGCTATGTTAATTGACTGTAATATTACAATATGTAAGTGTATCAAAGTAACACACTGTATACCATAAATGGATGCAATGTTATATGTCAGATTTACTCAATAAAAAACATTCAGATGTCCACAGAGGTATGGGTGTGTTTATGGGCTCTTAAGTTAGTGCCATTGATCTATATGTCTATTCTTAGGTCAGTGCTCCACTATCTTGATTACCTTTGTCTGTAGTAAAAGTTTTCTTTTTTGACTTTTTTTTATTTTGAGAGAGAGCGAGCTAGAGAGAGGGAGCAAGCACAAGTGAGGGAACGGCAGAGAGGGAGACAGACAGGGAATCCCAATCCCAATCTGTACTGACAGTGTGAAGTTTGAACCCAAGAACCATGAGATCATGACCTGAGCTGAAATCAAGAGTCAGATGCTTAATGGATTGAGTCAGCCTGTAGTAAGTTTTGATATCCGGAAGTGTGTGTGAGTCTTCCAACTTTGTTCTTTTGCAAGTTTTGGCTATTGGGAGCCCTTACAGTTCCATATGAATTTGAATATAAAGTTTTACATTTCTGCAAAAAGGCCATTGGGATTTTGATGGGGGTTGCATTGAATCTATAGATCAATTTGGGAGTATTACCATTGTAGCTATATTAAGTCTTCCAATCCCTGAACACTAGATGTCATTTTTTTATTTAGGTCTTCAATTTCTTTTGTCAATCTTTTGTAGTTTTCAGTATACAGATCTTTTACCTCCTTGGTTACATTTATTTCTAAGTATTCTTTTTAATATTATTGTAAATGAAATTGTTTTCTTAATTTCATTTTATGATCATTCTTTACCAACATAGAAATATAATTAATTTTTGTGTGCTCTTATGTTCTGCAACTTTCCAGAATGTGTTTATTTTTTGGTATATTCTTTAGGATTTTCTGTATACAAGATCATGTCATTTGTGAATAGATAGAGTTTTCCTTCTTCCTTTCTAATTTGGATGCCTTTTACTTCTTTTGCTTGCCTAATTGCTCTGGCTGGAACTTCCAGGACAATGTTGAATAGAAATGGGGAAAGTGGGCATTCTTGCCTTTTCCTGATCTTAGGGGAAAAGCTTTCAGTCTTGTACCATTGAGTATGATGTTAGCTGTGAGTTTTTCATAAATGCTTTTTAGTATTCTGAGGAAGTTCTATTCCTAGTTTGTTGGGTGTTTTTTTTTTTTTTTTAAGTGAAAGAAGGGTTGAATTTTGTGAAATGCTTTTTCTGCATCAGTTGAGAGGATCATGTGGTTCCCCCCTGCCTTCATTCTATTAATGTGGTGTATTACATTGCTAGATTTCTGTGTGTTGAACCACCTTGCATTACTGGGATACATTCCATTTGGTCATGCTATATAATCCTTTCAAAATGCTGCTGGATTCTGTTTGCTAGTATTTTATTGAGGGTTTTGCATTTATATTCCTAAGGGATATTGTTACGTAGTTTTCTTGTGATGTCTTTTTCTGGTTTTGGTATAAGGTAATGTTGGCCTTATAGAATGAGTTAGGGAGTTTTCCCGCTTCAATTTTTTGGAAGAGTTTGAGAAGTATTGGTGTTAATTTTTCTCTAAATGTTTGGTAAAGTTTACTGAAGCCATCTGGTTCTGGACTTTTCTTTTGTGAGGTTTTTAATCATTGATTCAGTCTTTTTATTTCTTATAGATCTATTCAAATTTCCTATTTCTGCTTGAGCATTTTTGATAGTTTGTGTGTTTCTAGGAGATTGTCCATTTTATCTCGTTGTTAATGAATTGTTTAGTATTCTTGTTCTTCGTGTTACTGAGAGAACAGTGTTAAAATTCCCAACCAAGATTGTGAATGTGTCATTCTCTTTTTTTGGTTCTCTAAATTTTTGTCTTTTATTTTTTGAGACTATATTATTAGGTGCATACACATTTAGAATGCTTATATCATCTGACAGATTGGCCCTTTTATCACTATGAAAATGTCTCTTTTTATCTCTAGTAAGTTTTCTTGTCTTCAAGTCTATTTTGTCAGGTACTAGTGTGGTTATACTGGAGTTCTTTTGTTAGTGTTTGCATGTACAGTATATGTTTTTCCATCCTTTGTTTCTAAGATTTCTGTCCCTTTATTTAAGAGGTCTTCTTGTATGATATACTTAAAAACAAGTCTGATAGTCTTTGCCTGTTAATTTGACCATTTAATGAATTACTAATATAATTAAATTTAAACATACCAGGATATGATTTGTTTTCTCTGACTTACCTTTTCTATGTTCCTTTCCCCTCCTTTTTTTTTTTTTTTTTTTTTTTTTTTTTTTTTTTTTTTTTTGCCTACTTTTGGATTATTAAAGTATTTTTTACAATTTCCTTTTATCCCAGGGGCGCTTGGGTGGCTCAGTCAGTTAAGCGTCTGACTCTTGATTTCGGCTCAGGTCATGATCTCACAGTTCATGAGATCTAGCCCCGGGTCAGGCTCTGCACTGACTGTGAGGAACCTGCTTGGGATTATTTCTCTCTCTTTCTGTCCTTCCCCTGCTCACACTCATGCTCTCTCTCTCTCTTTCTCAAATGTTAAACTTAAAAAAAAAAAAGAATTCCTTTTTATCCCATTAACCTGTTAAGTTGTTCATTCTTTCAGAATTCTTTTGTTGGTTTGCAATGTGCATCCTAACTTATTAATGTACTTTTGCCACTTCCTGAGGGATGAAATAACCTTAAAACGCTTTAACTTCATTTCTCCTTTTATTGCCCTCTCAACTTATGTATCACCATTATCATCTTTTAAACTATTATATTTCTCTCTATACTTTGTTCCCCAGAAAACTTTCTTATTGTTTTATACAATCAGTATTCATTTAGATGTAGCCACCTTTTTGCTGCTCTTCATTCCTTTCTACTTTTTCATGCTTCCATCTGGGATAATTTTCCTCTTGTCGGAAGAAGTCCCTTTAGTGTTTCCTTTCTTTTTTTTTAATGTTTATTTATTTTTGAGGCAGAGAGAGACAGAGTATGAGCAGAGGAGGAGCAGAGAGAGAGGGAGACACAGAATCTGAAGCAGGTTCCAGGCTCTGAGCTGTCAGCACAGAGCCCGATGCGGGGCTTGAACTCACAAGCTGTGAGATCATGACCTGAGCTGAAGTCGGCTGCTCAACCGACTGAGCCACCCAGGCGCTCCTAGTGTTTCCTTTCTTAATTTCATCTTTTTTTGTTGTTGAAATATGACTGGGGTATTGCCCAGGGCCCCTTGTCCTTGCTGGGCCCTGCACTCCAGTTTTTGTTCTCCACTCCTCCTGACCTCTCAGTTGTTCGGCCTTTTGGCCACTGCTTGTGAGTTGGCAAATGCTTCAAGGAGGAAACCTTCTCCTTATTGGGCTCACGTCTCCATGCTTCCTTTCTTTGTAGGATCTTTACCCTTGAAGTCCTCACTGCTCTGTATTTCTCCAATGCCTTCCCGCAGATGTTTTATTAATATCTTGACCAGCAGTTGTTTCTGTTAGGAAGATTCATTTGCAACAAGATAGCCTGTCATTTCTAGGATTAAAAATCTTGCCTGGTTATTTTTTGATTTTGAACTCCTGACTGGTGGCTGGGGGATGTTCAGTGTGTGGAACTCAGACATTATTGCCTCATATTCCTGTTATGAATGCGGACATAAATGGCTATTATGCAGGTACATATATGTCCATGTAAAATGTACACATAAACATAAGAAACATACCCTATTGAGGCACATACAAGATCTTGTCTCCTTAACCCTTTGGAAAGGTATAGAAAACTCTTGCTTGTCAGCTACTTACAAAGCCTTATGTTCCCTTATATTCTTGTTTTCTGAATTATTTTCTGTGGTATGTGAACGTCCCACATGATATTAATAGATTCTCTTTGTTAAGATGGGGCTAAGGTCAATGGATACGGGAAGCTGTACATGGAATCCTCTCTTTGGAGACTCCCAACACACAAAAGCACATTAAGCACTCTGAATCATGCACATAAACTTATTTGATTATGAAGTCTTTTTTGGGGGAATCCCTATTCCCATCTGTAGGTAAGTCTTGGGAAATATTGTCTGAAAGCAAACCTAAATCCACGAAATCCTACACCAATAGGTATCTGATGTTCAAGGGTCTTCATCTTTACAAAGATGAAGTGCCACCCAGTGTGTCCTCAAACATGGATATTGCAAGAAGAGTCTGAAAGTATGTACATCAGGTGTTGGGTTTGGAGGACTGGAGCCCCTCTGCTATTCAGTGGTTTAAAAAAGGCAGAACTTGGGGGTACAGTCATTCTCAGCTCTTTGTTTGTGCCTCCTGGAGTGAGACCATCTGCTTGGGTTCCCTTGGCCCCAGCCCAGCCCAGCTCAGCATGGGGTACCCATGTGTGTTGATGGAAATTGATTTTTGATTCTCTTAAGACCAACCTCTCCCTCACTTCACCTACCTCTTGGAGGTCTTGCCGCCCCTCTGTACAGGTGAGAGGGTGAGACAGTTGTGACGGAATACACAGAGCTTCTGCTCAGCAGCCAAGAGGCCTGGGTTCAAGTCCTGGTGCTGTGTGACCTTGGGAGAGTTAACCATGGAGTAGCGGGTGAGAGCATGGGCTTTGGTGTCAGACACACTCAGCCCTTCCACTTCCTTGCTGTGTGATCATGGGCACGTCACTTCACCTTCCTGTACCTCAGTTTCCTTAACTGTCAAATGGGGATGATGATAATACTCACCTCACCTTCTCCTTGTTGTGAGAACGAAATAAAATAATGCATGTCAAGTACAATCCCTGGAACACACTAGGCACCTGGCAGATATCAACTATTATATAATTGAGTCCAACCTGACTCCATCTGGGCGAGAGGAGAACTCCAACTTTTCATGATGCTTGAGGGTGAGATAGAATCTTGAAAGTGAAAAAGAGTTTTGTAAACCCTTGGAGACAAAGGGAAATGGAGGCAGTATTTTTCATTACTGCCCTTGATGCTGCCTCCACCCTTCTGGCTGGGCCGGGCAGGGTGTGGGGATCGCACGAGCCTCATCCCTACTCTCAGCTAGAACCATTTCTCCATCACAGAACATTGGCAAGAAGATGTCCTGTCAGCAATTCATTGCCAACTTGGACCAGCTGAATGATGGCCAAGACTTTGCCAAAGACCTGCTCAAGGTAAAATCTGTTAAGGGTTCCCATGCTCACATGTGGGTGGGGAATAGGTGGGGAGGAGAGAGATCTCTGCTCCACTAAATCTTGACAATCTAGAATTTTTCTTTCTTTTTTTTTTTTTTAAGTTTATTTATTTATTTATTTTGGGAGAGAGATTGTACATGCTGGTGCATGAACAGGGGAAGGGCAGAGAGAGAGAGAGAGCGGGAGAGAGAATCCCAAGCAGGCTGTGTCATTAGTGCAGAGCCTGACCTGGGGCTTGATCTCACAAACGGTGAGATTATGACCTGAGCCAAAATCAAGAATTGGATGTTTAACTGACTGAGCCACCTAGATGCCCCTAGATTTTTAAAAAAATTTTTTTTTTTCAACGTTTATTTATTTTTGGGACAGAGAGAGACAGAGCATGAACGGGGGAGGGGCAGAGAGAGAGGGAGACACAGAATCGGAAACAGGCTCCAGGCTCCGAGCCATCAGCCCAGAGCCTGACGCGGGGCTCGAACTCCCAGACCGCGAGATCGTGACCTGGCTGAAGTCGGACGCTTAACCGACTGTGCCACCCAGGCGCCCTGCCCCTAGATTTTTCAAAAATGTTTATTTATTTATTTTGTGTTTGAGAAAGAGATAGAGAGCAGGGGAGGGGCAAAGAGAGGGAAACAGAGAATCCCAAGCAGGCCCTACACTGTGAGTGCAGAGTCGGATGGAAGGCTTGAACTCATGAACTATGAGATGATGACCTGAGCTAACATCATGAGTTCGACACTTCACCAACTGTGCCACCCAGGAGCTCCTAGATTTTTTTAAAGTAATCTTTACACCCAACATGGGGCTCGAACTCATGACCCAGGAATCAGGAGTTACATGCTCTACTGACTGAGCCATCCAGGTACCCACCTGACAGTCTAGGTTTTTAATACTGGGGTCAGGGCCACCATGACTTTGGGACAGAGTTAGTGAACATCCAGTTCAACATTTGACTGTTACGTGTTCCCTGAGTTAGGCAGAGGGATAGGCTTTATGAGACTTGTTTTTGGCACTCCATTATCATTATTGCTGTTATGGCAATCCTCAAACCTTCCACCAGTTGTTACAGCTGCCATAGCCACGACCACCACCTTGATCACCGCTGCCACCTTCACCACAACTATTAATGTCATCACCACAGTGAAAAACCCACCCATTTTTTCAACATCACCAGGAATTAAGGGATTCTAGTTTTCTTGTGAGGTTAGAGCCCAGGGCAGAACTCAACAAGCCTTTCAAGCCTGGTCAGTTCTCTGCCTTGGGGGAAAGAGGAGCAGGTTTATGGGGGTGGGGTAAGTGATGAGTTCGGTTTTAGACAGTGGGTTTGAAGGATATGGTGATGCCAGGTAGGTAGTTGGATAATGAGTCTGGAGGTCAAAAAATAGAACATTGTCTCCATCACTCTTCTTACCATAATTATTTTTTTTCACCATCAGGGAGTGCTTGTTAAGAAGTATATGGGAGGGTCACCTGTCAGCATCTGTTGTGCTAACCGCTCAGAGCCTTCAGCCTGCTTCAGATTCTGTGTCTCTCTCTTTCTCTGCCCCTCCCCTGCTTGTGCTCTGTCTCTCAAAAATAAATAAACATGAAAAAGAAACAAAAAAGAATGTATTTGTGAGATCAAATGACCCCATCTCCCCACCCACGCCATCTACCCAACCTCCCATGCAGCCGTCCTTTCATCCATTCACCTACCCAGAAACTCATTTACCTGCCCCTTTGCCCACCCATCATCCACACATACACCTTCTACACCCATGAGCACTCACTCACCCACTCATTTCTCCACCCGTCCACCTACCCACCAACCTATCTGCCCACCTCATCATCAGATCTATTCACCCATTCATCTGAACAATCCTCTCCCCACCCACCCCACATTCATTCACCCACCCAACAAACAACTGTGAATCAAACACCCATTTTGCCCCACTGGCTGAAATGATACTTCACTACATCCACATTACTAGAGATTCAGATTTCTTTGACTTTTCATCTGAAGTCATCTCTTTTTCTTTTTCCCTGTTGTAGACCCTTTACAACTCCATCAAGAATGAAAAGCTAGAATGGGCCATGTGAGTAGTGCCCGTGGGCACAGGTATGGGGAAAGTGAGTCACTGGGAAGGAAAAAAAGGGAGTGGCTGAGGGTGCAGGGAAGTCACTTCTGTCACTCTCCATGGTGCTGATATCTCCCAGCCCAGGGCTCTGGTGACCCCTGTCCAGCAGGTCAGTACCACACGTTGAGTTCCCCTTTGGTACATTTTTTATCTTGATAAAAAGTGTGAAGTGTTTACACTGGTATGGAATAGATTCAACTGTGACTTGAGTTTCATGATGGCCACAACTTGTTTTCTATACTGCAATATTGCCACTATTCCCAATGATGATAGTTTCCTTCTTGGGAGGTAAGCAGGCAGGAAGCATGAGACCCCAGTGTAACAGCTCTTGGTAGCGGGGAGGGGCAACTGTCACTATAACTTGTTCCTCTGCAAAGGCAGTGAGACCTGGAGGTGCCCAGCCATCTGGAAAGAGGTGTGGTGACCTTGCTGGGTGGGGAGACTGAGAGGCTCCTCGGGAAAGTGGCTGCCCCACCCTCCTGTGCTCTCCAGGGCACCTTGGTCTTTGGGTACATGTAGAGATACCAGGTAGGAATTGTGAGGAATTCCAACAACACTGAGAAGATCTGGCATTTTTCTACCAGGGCTCTAATGGGGATCCTAAACTTTAGGGGCCTCATCTACTGGCCCACCTTTCCCCAACATGTTTGTGGGGCTTGGTCAGCAGCTTCAGGCTGGCCATGGGTCACTGCTCCCTGGGGCTGGGCTTTCAGGGTTGTATGGAAGAGAAGAAATAAGGAATAAAACCAATAAGGTCTCCAACTTTGTGGTCAAAGAGTGCTTGGAGGATTGGAGCTTGAAGGCCAAAAATCAAAGCTCAGAGGACAGGGGTCAGAATCAAAGACTAAGGAGAGGGGTCAAATATATGGATCTGTGATCTGGAATTGGAACCTCTTTACCTCTGCTCTTCACCTCTGACTGCTTCCCAGAGGAGTGGTTGGTGAGGAGGGAGCATATCCATGTGGGGCTAAGGCTTTCATGGAGGTGGTGCTCAGGCCTCCTATTTTCCTAGTGATGAGGACGAACTGAGGAAATCACTGTCTGAGCTGGTGGATGACAAGTTTGGGACAGGCACCAAGAAGGTGACACGGATCCTGGATGGTGGCAACCCCTTCCTGGATGTTCCACAGGCTCTCAGCGCTACCACCTACAAGCATGGCGTGCTGACTCGAAAGACTCACGCCGACATGGATGGCAAGAGGAGTGGGTGTCAGGCAGGGGAAGGGACATGGGGAGGGATGCCAGTCTTGGGGGAGGGTGTGGCCCCATGGCTGCTCGTCTGGGGTTGCACACCTAGGTAGAATGTAAGGGGATGTGGGGGAGGAGATAATTGGGGTGGGTGGTTGTGGCCACACTACCCTTACCCCCATCCCTAGCACCCCGTGGGAGGCGTGGCTGGAAGAAATTCTACGCGGTGCTCAAAGGGACCATCCTGTACCTGCAGAAGGTGAGAGACTGCCCCCAGAGTCCTTACCCAAAAAAGGCCAGTGCAGTCTTCCAACCGGCCCCTGCCTTGTGGTGCTCAGAGGGTCCCTGGCAGGACGTGGGGCTTAGGCAGATGCTGGGTCTTCCCCTCATTAAAACCTGACTCAAGCTCAGTCAGAGCCTTGGGTTTTCAGGGAAGGGCCTTTTAAGTGCCCAGGAGTCCGAGGATACCCAGTGGAAGTTCTCTTTGGCCTTGGGACAAACCAAGGTGTGGAGAGGAGAGGCTGGAGTGCTTTGTTGGGGAGGGCATGGCACCAGAGTGGCAAGAGCTGAATGAAGAATGGAAGGAGAGCAAAAGGGGGGGGATGGCGAGGGTCGAGGAAGTGTGGGCTAGCAAACCAGAGCCTGGTGATGACAGAGGCTTGCCCGTCCCCACCCCATCTGTCCAGGATGAGTACAGGCCTGACAAAGCTCTGTCTGAGGGTGACTTGAAGAATGCCATTCGTGTGCACCATGCTCTGGCCACCAGGGCCTCCGACTACAGCAAGAAGTCCAATGTGCTCAAGCTGAAGACAGCTGACTGGAGGGTCTTCCTCTTCCAGGCACCGTAAGTAGGAGTGGGAGCCCCCTCACTCCTACCTTGGCCTCAGGGCCTGCAGCATCGAGCCTACCCTGCACCCCTCTCCTCATCCATCTCAGGCGGGGTGCCCTGCACGTCAGCCACACGACTGACAGCTGGGGTCGCCCAAAGTAGAGGTTCTTAAGTGTGGTCCTCAGCATCTCCTGGAAATGTGTTAGAAATGCAATTTCTTTGGCCCCACCTTAGACCTATTGAATCAAAAACTCTGGGGCTGGGCCAGCAGTTGTGTTCTAACCAGGCTTTCAGGTGATCCAGTTGCACGCTGAAGTCCCTATGTCCAAGGCAGATGGAGTCTTAATGAATCATCCTTTACTGTAAATCATGGTGGGGAAATGGATGGGAAAGACTTGTCCTGTAGTTTCCCTGGAAGACCTCTGTACACTCCCCTTCATCCTGTCCTGTGACTTGAGATTGGAGTTTCATGTGTCACATGAGCTTAAAAGGAGGGAGGCTGGTAGGTGACCTCTCAAGATGGGAGTGTGTATGCTGGACGAGGTAGTGGGGAAGGGACAGGAAACCCGAGTGGGGACACTGCTTGTCCAGTTATCTCTAGGTTCGAGTCATCCAGGGATCACCTGCTGACTCTAAGTCCTCTTACTCCAGGGCCATTAGCTCTGGACCTGGACAGCTTGATTTTCATGTGAAAATCCAGGTCTTGCCTAGCCGCTGGGAGTGAGAGGAGCTCTGTACATAGACTTGACCAGGCCCATCCAACCCCCATCCCGCCATCCTCCCTCACTCTTTTGTCCCCCTTTTGTGAAGGGATTGATGGCCTCCCTATGCCAGGCTAGTGCTGGGTCCTGGGGCCTGGGTAGGGGACAGGGGGTCCTATTGTGAGAAGCCGGTGCCATCTCCCCTCCCATCCTGTCCTCAGGAGCAAGGAAGAAATGCTGTCCTGGATCCTTAGGATCAACCTGGTGGCTGCCATCTTCTCAGCCCCGTCCTTCCCCGCGGCTGTCAGCTCCATGAAGAAGTTCTGTCGGCCCCTGCTGCCCTCCTGCACCACTCGCCTCTGCCAGGTACAAGCTCCTGGGACCCCAATGCCACCTCCTCAGGCTGTGTCCAGCCAGGCCCCCCGTTCAGCAGCCTCCACCTCAGCTCCTAGATGGTGCCTGATCTTGGGCTAAGAGACAAAGTGAAGAGGCAGATATTCTCCTCCATCCCCATTGCGCCCCACCCCCATTTACAGATGGGATGACTGAGGCCATACACCACACAGAGGCTTACATTCTTCTCTGCCAATGGGGGTGTATCCTGTGGATGTCATTGTGAGTCTGTGGGCATTGTGCGTGTCTGAGCATGAATGCGAGAGAATGTGTGTGCCGCAGGGAGCTGGGGACAGGTGAGACTCAGCTGGCTCTTTTGCTGTCCTGATCTACCCTTAAATATTTTATTTGTAATCCTAAAAAAAAAACTATGTGACTTTTTCAGGGGTAGTTTGGAGAGGAGAGGATAAATGGTGGAACGCTACTTGGGAGGTGGAGGGCAGCAGGGGCTCCATGCCGCCTGTCTTCGTCAGGCCCCCCTTCTGTACTGGGCCCTTGCCTTGGACCTCTCCATTGAGCTACCAGAGCCCCTGTGCACGCACATGCAACGCACACACACACGCAGACCCCACGCAGGCATACACCATACAGGTACACACACACGTGCTCTCTCCCCGCACCTCCACTGCACACACATGCGCATACATACGCACACAGGCGCAGCCCACTGCTCACACAGCATGAAGCGGTCTGGCCGTACTCCGGTGGGTGGGATGTACGTGTGCACCTGTCTGTGAGGAACAGTGTCTCTGCCTGTCTTTGGGTATGATCCTGGGTCTGTAACCATGGAGTCTGTCTGGGGGAGAATGCGAGAGGATGTGTGCATCCTGTGGAGCCAGGGGTAGCAGAGGCCAGGTTGTCCCTTGGTCCATCGTGTTTGTGTGTGCCCGTGAGAGTCCCTGTGAACCGGGGTGGGGGCAGAGTGCATCTGGAGTGCTGGTGTGCCTGTGTCAGCGTCTACACACACGTTCCAGTGTGCGGGCCTCTCATCTCCTGAGCCTGCCGCAGATTTATCCAGGAGAGTTGATGCTGATGAAAGCAAGGAGCAGGGAGTGGAAGAGTGGAGGGCCACTCCCTCAGGTCCTCCACATACTTGATGTCCCCGGCCCGGCCTCAGTTTCCCTTTGGTGAAGCAGATCCATCAGGCCGGGATTAGACCCACCCCTGTGCCGTCCTGAGAGTGGGCCCTCACAGTCCAGGACATGTCTTTGCAGGAGGAGCAGCTGCGTTCTCATGAGAACAAGTTGAGGCAGGTGACTGCGGAGCTGGCTGAGCACAGGTGTCACCCTGTCGAGAGGGGCGTCAAGTCCAAGGAGGCCGAGGAGAACCGGCTGAAGGAGCACTATCTCACTTTTGAGGTGGGTTCTCCGTGGGGCCGATTGCGAAGCTCAGGGCTGGGGCAGGAGGAGGAAGCCAGCTCTTCTCCTGTTGCCAACATCATTCTACAGCCAGGGACTCCTGGTTTGGGCGCTCCCCACTTTGGGGGTTCCCCTGAGGTGCTCTTGAGCCATGCATGGCCTCCTGTGGGCCAGTCTCTGCACAGTCCAGCTGCCAATTGTTAATCAAGCACTGTGCCCTCACCTGTGTCTCTCAAAGAGCACCAGGCGGGTACCACCCTTCTCTAAGACCCTCTTCACCTCCATGCCCCCATGTACCAGCCGCCCACTCCGGAAGCTGTTACAACAAAACCACAGACCGCTTGAGCCTGTGTGCATGGCCTGCTCCCCCTTTTGTGTCATTTTCCTTTTTTGCACATGTTTATCAAGCACAGCACCTAAGTTCTCCCTTCTCCCATCTTGCCTTTCCCTGCCCCCTCCTGCCCCCTGATGCTCTGCAAACGGGGCTGATGGAGCATCACTCTCACTGGGTCAAGCAGAGGGGGGCAGCTTGCGGGAGGGAGGTGGGAACCACTTGTCCCTTTTGGACAGCCTTTGTGTTGACCTGCTTGCAGGAGTGGACAATATAGAGGCTCAGACAGCCTCTGGAGCAGGAAGGGCAGGAAGTAACCAATCTCAATCTCTAGATTTCCACATTGATTTTCTGTTGAGGTATGAGGAAAAGGGAGTTCCCACAAGAGATCCTGACCTTTAAAAAAACATAAAGCTGTTCAGCTTTTGAAATCTTCTCAGACCCAGTCTCTCTGCAGTGTAAACATAGGGATGGCAAAAGCTACAGTGGACTGATCTCTCGCTAATTGCCAGGCAGCTGCGATTCCCTTCACTTCCCTTGTACTGATTGATTTCATCCTCATATCAACTCTGTGAAGTGAGGTCTGTTATTATCCCCATTTTACAGATGGGAAAATTGAGGCTTAGATAGAGCAGATCATTTGCCTGAGGTGACAGTTAAGAAGTGCCGGAGCCTGAATCCTAACCGAGGCAGTCAGTCGGATTGGAATTTCAGCACCCCTGTCTTTCTCACTTCCCGCTGGCTTAACTGGGGGAGGGGGATGGGTCCTGGAGGTGAAGCCCAGCAATGAAGGGTCTTTCTGTTCATGTCGCAGAGCTGTGTGAGAACAGTGTCTCCTCACCTGTAGTCCCTGCTTCTTCTAGGATCTCAGCCTCTCCTGACTGTGGTGAGGGCTGGAAGCTCAGAGTCAGGCCCTCAGACACTGCCAAATCTCCCCTTCTAAATGTTTACCAATTTATAACACTTTAAATAGCTTATGAATGTACTATTCTGTCCATGCCCTCACCAACACTGGACACTACTGAATGTTTCAATCATCACTAATCTGAGAGGTTTAACCAGGGGTATCTTATATTAATTTGGATTAAAAATGTTTTAATTGTGGCAAATACATATAACATCAGATTTATCGTCTTAACCATTTTTAAGTATGTAGTTCAGTAGTATTGAGTCTACTCACGTTGTTATGCAAGTAATCTCCAGAACTTTTTCATCTTCCTAAACTGAAATTCTACACCCATTAAATAGCAACTCCCCAGCCCCTCCCTCTGCACTCTGCCTTCCACCCCCAGCAACCGCTGTTCTACCTTCGTCTCTCTGAGTTTGACTCCGTACTTCGTATGAGTGGAATCATCCAGGATTTGTGGTTTTGTGACTGGCTTGTCCTCAAGTTAATCCACGTTGTGGCCTGTGTCAGAATTTCCTTCCTTTTTAGGCTGAATGATATTCCATTGTATATAGATACCACTTCTTATCTTTTCATATCCTGCTGGACATTTGGGTTGCTTTCATCTCTTGGCTCTTATAAATAGTGTTGCTATGAACATGGGTGTGCAAATATTTCTGAGATCCCGCCTTAAGTTTTTTTGGGTATATGCCCCAAAATGGTATTGCTAAATCACAAGATAATGCTATTTTTCACTTTATTTTTTTAAGTTTATTTATTTATTTTGAGAGAGAGGGGTGGGGAAGGGCAGGGAGAGACGGAGAGAGAGAATCCCAAGCAGGCTCCGCACTGTCAGCGTGGAGCCTGACGCGAGGCTCGAAATCAGAAACTGTGAGCTCATGACCTGAGCTGATATCAAGAGGTAGATGCTTAACCCACTGAACCATCTCGGTGCCCCTGTTATTTTTCACTTTCTGAAGAAAAGCCATACTGTTTTCTACAGCAAGCAGTGTGCCATTCCAGTGTTCCCTACATCCTCACCAACACTTAGTTGCTGAGTTTTCTTTGATAGTAGTTGTCTTAATAGGTGTGAGGTGATACCCCATTGTGATTTTGATCCGCATTTCCCCGATGATAATGATGTTGAGCATCTGTTCATGTGCTTATTGGCCATTTGTATGCCTTCTTTGGAGAAATGTCTAGTCAAGACATTTGCCATGTTTTTAATTAAAAATTTTTAATGTTTGTTTATTTTTGAGAGACAGAGTGCAAGCAGGAGAGGGGCATAGAGAGAAGGAGACACAGAATCTGAAGCAGGCTCCAGGCTCTGAGCGGTCAGCACAGAGCCCGACGTGGGGCTCGAACTCACAAACCGTTAGATCGTGACCTGAGTAGAAGTCGGACACTTAACCGACTGAGCCACCCAGGGGCTCCAACATTTGCCATTTTTTAATTGAGTTGTTTGTGTTTTTGTTGTTGAATTACAGGAGTTTTTAATATATTTCATAGATTTCTGGCTACTAGACCCTTATTACATACATGATTTGCAAATATTTTTTTCCATTCTGTGGATTGCCTTTTCACTGTGTTGTTCATGTCCTTTGATACACATGAGTTTTAAATTTCATAATCCCATTTGTCTCTTTTTAGTTTTGTTGTCAGTGCTTTTGGTGTCCTAGTCAAGAAATCACAGCTAATTAACTTGAAAATTTAAAATTGTGAGTGACATTTCTGTGCATGCCCCTTGCCTATTTTTTTTATTGGGTTGTTGATCTCCTTTTTTATTGATTTGTGAGAGCTCTCTGAATATTAAGGAAATTAGTCTTTTGTCACATAAAGTACCCATACATTTTTCGTGTTTTGTTGTTTGTCCTTTGACTTTGTTTTTGGCCTTTCTCTGCCCTTTTTCCAGAAAAGCCGTTATGAGACCTATATCCACCTCTTGGCTGTGAAAATCAAAGTGGGCTCAGATGACCTGGAGCGGATTGAGGCCCGGCTGGCCACCTTGGAAGGGGATGACCCTTCTCTCCGCAAGACACACTCAAGCCCGGCCCTCAGTCAGGGCCATGGGACTGTGACTGGCAGCAAAGCCATGAAGGATACCGCCGGGCCTGATACTTAGCTGGCATGGATGGGCGAGCCCCAGAGGCAGGCAAATGTCCCCAGAGGGGTCAGTGAGCACAATTCCAGCTGGGGGCCGCTTGCACCAGCTCCAGGCAGTTGACAGGCAGCCAGAGGGGTGCAGAGAGCCCTGTGGGCCAAGGAGATGGAGATGCTTACTCATGGCGTTGATCTTGCATCCTGGGGTTTTTCCGGGCCTCACACCTTCTCCCCAGCCCTCATATTCCTCTCCACCATGGAGCCTCATTTCGTAGGCCAGTTGTATGCATGTTCTAGACACCATCTCACTGGGAAAGGAGGACTGGCCGCTGGCTTCCCGGGCCCTCCCCTCCTCACAAGTTCCTCCCCTCATCTCCCTTATTTCCAAGGGCAGGACTTGACTCCAGGTCTCAGCTTGGATCCTCGGCTGTTCCCCTCCTCCTTCTTCAGACTTGACCAGCAGCGGGTCTGCAGACCACCAGCACCATCCTCTCCTCCCTCCACCTTGTACCTTTTGGAACCATGCCCTGTTCTCCTGTCTCCCTTTGCAATAATCCAGGACCCGGGCCTGTTCCCTCGATGCCAAGTCGTC